GTTTAGGACTTCAACCCCCTGGGGCAGTGTTCCCCAATCTTTGGTCCTCAAGGTTTTTTCTAGGAATTGGTATCCAAAGCACCTCAAGGACCAGACTTTTGGGACCCACACTGCCTGGAGCATTCTGGGGGATGGAGTCCAAAACCCCTGGAAGACCAAAGTTGGGGACTTCAACCTCCTGGGCAGTGGTTCCCAGATGTTGGTCCTCCAGTCTCTTTTGGATTCCCAGAATCCCTGACTCTTGGCTAAGCTGGCCGGGGCTTCTGGGAGCTGAAGTCCAAAACCCCTGGAGGACCAAAGGTTGGGAACCACTGGGTTTGAAGTCTAGGTGTTTGGGACTTCAAGCCCCTGGGACAACCAGGTTCCCAACCTTTGGTCCTCTGGGTGTTTTCTGGGAGATGAAGGGGTGTTGCAGACTGCCAGAAATAGTGCAAATTGAGTCCACTTTTAGGGTTAGGGTTAGTACTAGGGAATCATGGGAATTGTTGTTGTTTTTTCTGAGACATTGAGCGTTCTCTGTCAGAGCGCTCTGGTGCCACAATAAAATACAGTTCCCATGATTCCCTAGCACTAACCCTAACCCTAAAAGTGGACTCAATTTGCACTATTTCTGGCACTCTGCAACCCCCCCCCCCCGAAGTCCAAAACCCCTGGAGGACCAAAGTTGGGGCCTTCAACCTCCTGGGCAGTGGGTCCCAAAAGTTTAGTCTTCTGGGTGTGTTGCCCAAAGCCCCTGGCGGGCCAGACCCTTGGCCTTTCTGGGGATGATGGTGGTGGTGGTGGTCCTCCTCCTCACCTGGTACTGGGCGGCCTGCTGTCCCTGGCTGAGCTCCTGGGCCTCCCTTTCCCTCCGCAGCCGGCCTTCGAGGGCGGAGAGCTCCTTCCAGGTGCGCTGGAGCTGCTCCAGGTGCCTCCGGCTTCGCTGGCTCTGGCCGCGGAGCTCCTCCAGCTGCTGCTGTTCTCCTTCTTGGCTTCCCTGGAGCCAGCCTTGGAGCGCCTCGAGGGCGGCTTCGTAGCGCTCCAGGCTCCGTCCGCAGCTCCAGCGGAGCACCAGGGCTCCCTCCTCCTCCTCTCTCCGGAGTCCGGGGTCCGGGGCCCTGGTCCTCCTCGTCCTGGAGGACGCGGCCACCACCCTGCGCCTGCGCGCCTCGGCCGCCTCCTCCTCCAGCCGCCGCCGCTCGCCCTGAAGCCGCCCCAGGAGCGCCTCCAAGGCGGCGCAGTCCCTGCCCAGGCTCTCCAGTTCGCCTTTGAGCCGGGAGGCCTGGGGCTCGAGGGAGCGGCGGCGCAGCTCCAGGCTCTGGGCCGCAAGGAGCTCCAGGCGGCCCAGCTCCCGGCGGAGGGCGTCCCGCTGGGCCTGGGCCTGGGAGCCGGAGCGGCGCAGCTCCTCCAGGGCCCCGCGCAGCGAAGACACCTCCGCCTGGGCCGCCTTTTCGGCCTGGGCCTGGGCCTTCCCTCCGGCGCCTTCCCTCCGGCGCAGCGCCCGCAGCTCCAGCGCCAGCGCCCGGTTCTCCTCCTCCAAGGCCCGCACCCGGGAGACGTAGAGCCGCAGGCGGGAGTTGAGCTCCTGCAGCTCCCGGCGCTCGTCCCGCTCCATCCTCGCCCGCGCGCGCCCCGCTCCTTCTGACTCCCACGGAGCCCTCGGCGGCGCCGCTCTTTCC